TTGGCGAACTTCCATCAGCAATTGAGTCGGAACACAACATTTAATAAAATTCTTATGCCATTAAAAAATACTACTAATGACAATTTTATTTCTTTCAAAATTACTTACTTACGGAGAGATCTACAATAGTATTAATCAATCATTCTCGGGAGTTACAAAAGCTAAAAGTTCGTGATCCTAATCCCACCGCTATTGCAACAACACGTTTTTCAAATATTGTTTGAGTTCTTCCTTACAAATAAATATTTGGGCTTTATGAGCTTCATCAATATAAGGTCTAGTAAAAGGAAATCCATTAGTTTTTCAATATATGGCTACGTTATGGTAATCTATATTTCGCGTCGCATAAGCGCGATTGGTTTACTCTCTCAAACAGTTTTGTGATTTCTTGACGCAATATAGTTTAAGCACGAGTCAAAGATGGATACCAATAAAGAAAAAATACGCCACATTTTACAGTTTTTCTTCGATAAACGCGAAAACATAAGCCAGGCGACTGAAAGCGTTAATAGTGTTTATGGTTCTGATACTGTAACAAAGGATGACATTTTGGCTTCTCTGCTTCTGTTACGGTCATTTTGCTGTCAAAGATGTGTATAGTTTTGGAAGGCCAATTGCCAAAAACATCGATAAAATTTTGGGAATCGTCGAGTCCGACTGTCATGCAGGAGCAAACATTGCAAAACAAACAAACGAAGCTCGATGTGTATGACATTAGTTAACGCATACAAAAAAACCCTCCTGCACCGAATTTTCATCTGCGAATCTATGCTAAATGTCAACAAAAGCAATCTATTTCGGTTGATCACTGAAAAACGGTAGCCAAACCAGGATTGACGGTCAGGAAGATTTTGTTAAACTCTTGATTCAAAGCTGGACTCTGTCAACAATTAAACCGTCTGAAGGAAGCAATCGCCTAACAAGAGAGGAATTGTGTTCCATAGGGAAACTACACGCCACACACATAGACAGTTTTTTAAAAAAAATCGCTCAGATTTACTACTAGAGACCAGCTAGTAGTCAGTCCTGAAAATATAATTTACTTCTTTGTCCTTACATAATTTATAGGAAAAAGTTCCCCAACCAATATTATATTAATATAAAGCTGAACCTTCATAGGCCAGCAACAACAACAAGTGACATAAAACTTAAAAAAAAGCCAACGACTTTAATATAAATCTTCGCTAATGAAGTCGTACGAAGCAATTTATCGCGCTAACTCACTTGGTCCTGCCGACTACAGCACACCAACGGCAGGCGACGGCTATATTGTGTCACAGAAGTGTCACTTTGTACTATTTTCGAACGGCTGTAGTTGTTGTTAAGATTTCCAGGAAACAACAGCGCCGATTGGACGTAACAGAGGCGCCTGCAAAAACACAAAGGAACAGTAGTGATGTTCGCCACAGTTTAATAAGTTCAATGTAATATATATATTATTATATATAAATTATATAAATACATATATAGCATAGATGCATAGGTGGACAATGCTCGTAAATTGGCCATGAGTTGTTTGCAATAAGAAATCTATTCAACCAATATACGGCCACTAGCGCTGCTACACTTCCGCTCAAGCCATACCGGCTCTACAACATGTTAAATGTTGATCCTGACGGCTATCAAGGCTTAATTCCTGGAATGCACTCACTCTTCTGTGCTATATAGTAAACCAATACAAACATATATGTGGCAATAATAGGCAATAAATGTAAACAAGACACCATTTTTGCGTTGCGTTGACACCATCTTGGCAATATTGTCAACACCTCAATGGCACACACACATGCACACAAAAAGCGAAGAGCGAAGAGAAGAAGTGGTTGCAACAACAATAGCAATAGCTAAATTACTTGTTAAAAACGTGAAAAAGCAAACAAGAAGTATACATACCAGTCACCGGTTTGTAGGCTCCACCTCAAGGTAGGCGTTGCTTACAACCAATTTGACGGCGAAAAAAGCGTAAAACTTTAAAGTTAAATGAGAAGAACAAAATTATTGCTTCGAAACTGGTTTGCCACAGCACACAATGCCGGTAAATTATAGCGTGTTGTTGAAACGGGTTTCTCCTCGGCTTCCACATACAACAAATGTCATTAATGTACTCGATTAACGCTCCACTAGAGCTGCTTAAGCTCTAATATCAACTATTTTGCAGCGTTGAGCTCTCCTTGCCACATGGGAAATGTGGAGAGTTGCTCGCACAGAGCCAGCAATGGCAGTCGTTTGCTGCTAAATTTTAGTTCTTGTGAACGCTGTGCACATGCGCACAACTGTTGCGGGTTGCAGCGGACAAAAAGTGGGAGTCTATTGCGGCACCTGCCGACGGCTCGTTTTAATTGCAACGGTGTTAACGAGGAAAGTATGATAGTAAAATGAAGGCAATAATTTCAAATGTGTAAAATAAATTTCTTCTTGATATTTTTTTTGACAAAAATACAAAAATCTGCAATAAACTAATACAATATTTGCTGCAAGTAAGCTCTCAATCGAAAAATTATATTTTTTTGTTTGTAGAAATGTGTTGAACTATAGTTAAGCTATGCCTTGATGAGATAGGTCAATAAAAATGAACATTTTTGTTGTTGTAAAGGTAAGTATTTTTCCCAAATAATTTTTACGATAATTGCCTAGTTGACAACCCCTGAGCGAATGGATATTCGGAACCGCTCCATGTACGTAGACCCAACTATCGTGGAAAGGAGGAGGAATTGTGTATTCACAGGCATTATAAGAATAACAATTCGTAAATAAATTGTCAAAATTTAAGAAATGGAACATTAAAAAAAACCTAACATTGGGAAAAATATTTTTCTTTGCCGATATCTTTTCAAATCCACTTTTAAACGTTGTCATTAACGAATGATATGCATTTTATGAAATGATTCTGATGAAAAGTGTCTAAAGTACAATATAAGCGATATATGAATTGATAATTTTGATTAATATCGTCATATGGGAACAATACCGTTATATGGGAGTTAGAAAAAATTTCTTTGTTAATAAAAATCATCTAGTTGAATGTTAGCTTATTTGGTTATAGAGTTAGGGCAAAGTTCCATCGATAGATAATACCGCTTCAACAAAATTTAACGAATGACTTCTTCAAGAAACAAATAAAAATAATTCAACGACGAGTTTTTTCTCCTAAGTATATGTGGTTTGCGTCTTGACTATATTCCTCAAGTAGAAGGTCCTGCTATTATCGCACCGTCTCCGTATGACTGATGGGTTTTTATAACTAACCTTTTTATGTCAAATCTACGCTTGGAAAGCTATTTTTTTGTTTATGATATTTTCCCTTAAATATCAGATTTTGACTCTGATGCTTTAACCAACGATTTACTAGTATCTCGGCTATAGCTGCCTCGAAGAAATATTTACAAATACTGCAACCCAAACGAAGCCAAGTAATTTGCGCAAATTAAGCCAATAATTTCTTTAAAACTACAAAGCTATTATGCAAATGTATTCTTCTAATAATGGAAAAACGGATAATAAACTTGTATCCTTAAGTATATAAGCCTTTCATTATTACCCTTCAAATTTTTTAAAAATCTATTTAAACTCTCATCCATAATTAAATTCAACATAATAATTTTGTTTTTCTCTACGCGGGGCTAAGAGTCCGTGGAGTTATATACATACATAGATCGAAATCCATTCCGTTTACTTAGATCTGATTGCCTTTTTAATGCCTTCGAATTTATGCAAGGGATCGATTTGTACGAACGCATCGTTTCCATGACCTTCGTATCTGCGCGAGTACAAATACCTATCCTGTTTAGAATTGTTAACTCATCAAATTTTCCAAAATCTATTTAAAGAGGATATCTATTGAAACTAAATACGTTTATTCTACCCAACAAGTTTCAAGACTTTAAAATACAAAATACTATGTAATTTTGGAATATACTTTGCTATTAAGATTTCTGTTGTACTGTCACTTTAAATGTAACAGCTTTAAAAATTAATTGCATACCATGATGCAATGAAATTGAAGCGTAGGCTTATACCGCAAATTTTATTGAAGAATGCAAATAGCTGATCTCTACAAATATATTTAATATACATTGATTGATTTCTTATAAGACGGCTGCTTATTTGATTTATGATTAAAAGATAATTTCTGTGGGCAATTTAAATCGTTTTAGGAATAATACTTGTATTTTCGCGTGAAAAATATTTTTAATCTATTTTGCTTCTGAGAGATTGCACATATTGCGATTTATATGTAAATATATGGTAAGTGATTGTAAGTTACTGGTGTTACCAATTCGAAAGAGATTTAAATTATTTTTAAAGAAAACAAGAACAAACGATTACTTCGGCTGCACCGAATCTATAGTAGCCTTCACAATTAAAAAAGTTTCCTTACAAGAACTCGATTTTATTCGGTCAGTTTGTATGGCTGCTATACATATACTATGGTGGTTCGATATCAGCGTTTCCGACAAATGATCAGATTTTTTGGGAGAAAAGAGTGTATGCAAAATTTGACGAATGAAAGCCACATTTAAATCGTCTTAGAATGACCAAACTACACAGACGAAAATATTTATATATGATCAGAAATAGAGATATCTGTGTAAATAGCTTAGGGATCATTAAGTTATCTGGTTTCCGTTTGAGAACTCAAAACGAAAATTAATGCCAGGTTACATCGAAAAAGTTATAAATTATTACGATGGAATAAATATTTATATTATACTTATATAAGAGAAAACTGTATACTTTTTGTAGTTTTCGATTATATCGAAAAGTTTGAATGTATAATTTATATAATTTAAAGAACTCTCGCTCTTTTTAGAACAAGCAAAGTTATAATTGAGCAATTCTGCACTGACCACACTAAAACAACTGAGAGTATGGATTTCATTTTCTAAGAGATTACAAATCTAAAATTAACAGTTAAATATCTCGCCTACTACACATGGAAAAGCAGTCAAAGCTCGCTCACGATCGTTTGCTCTGATAAGCAAATACATTTATAGCTTACAATGCTTCGTTTATGTTTTGAACAATATGGCAACACTCTTATAGTTCTGTTCTGTTATCAGGCACAAAAACGCAAACCTTTATGAATTTAAATGAAAATTAATTTGTAATCTTCGCATGTAGAAGTGGCATTGAAATTGTTACTATTGATCGATTGAGCATCGGCAGCACAGTCGCTTTTCTCTTTCCCAGCAAATCTAATACTCGTAATCGAACAACGCATAATGCAGTTAATTAATTACATATACTTCCTGTGTTTCGCATATCTTCTTTACAATCCGAGTATTTGCCCTGTACGCGCGATAAGTGAGTAAATTATTTCATTAATATATCTGGACTTTTAAGATTTCAACTGGTTTCTAGCAGCAATTAGCGATGCTAAGGTATATCCTTTTACGAAAGTTGGCAGCAAATATTATCTCAGAAATACTGGCGAAACTGTAAGTCTGATTTATAAAAAAAAAAAATTTCAATCGAAATTAATTTCGTTCGTATCGCAATTGCAGATGAATTGGTTTGCTGCTGCACATTTTTGCCGTACCTACGACAGTGACTTGATTACCATCGAATCGGCGAACGAAATGGAAGCTTTAACGGCACATTTGAACGAAATCGGCGACAAGAAAAAACGTTATTGGACGGCCGTTAACGATTTGTCGGTGGAGGGTAAATTCGTGTCGTTGACCAATGGCGGTCCAATAATCTATAAAAAGTGGCTAAAGGGCGAACCGAATAACGACCTCGAAAATGAAGATTGTGTAGAAATCGGTAGGCAAGACTCCGTATTTTATATGAACGATTTTGCGTGTATGGGAAAGTTTTATGTAATTTGTGAGATGCGACATCCACCGAAAGATGAGGTGGAATGTGATACTATACCAACAAAGTGTATTTTAGCGAAACTAATAGAAGCCTATCGGCAGTCTACGGATATTTTCCACTGCAAAGAATAATATCTTTTCTTCATTTAATAAAAGATAACACTTAGCAAATTATTATGTTTGTTTAACTAGAGTTTTATAAACACATCTTTTCATATTGATTAACCATTTCCACTAGTACTTGCAAAGCAAATAAAGTTCAACTTTAAGAACCGTATGGCTAAATGTTCCTTCGCATAGTATTGTATTATTTAAAAAAAGTTTAAAGATATAAGCGCACAACACCGCAATCAATTAGCATCGCATCGCCAAAACTGCTGAGAGCACGATCAATCAAACTCAGCACTCAAATCTCAGACAAAAAAACAAATGTTTACTATTGCCTTAACCTTCTCTGTGATAACTAAAATGGCTTGGCTACAAGAATTTTCAATTAAAAATATTGTGAATGGAACTTTTATCTTAAAGTCCACGGTAAAATGATACTCGAGTCAGGGTTTCGCGCTACCAAAGTAGGGATTATTGATTTGTACGAGTTCTACAAGTATATTGTCTTATATTATATTATATTATTCCTTATCTGATCACGCGTTCCAAACAATTATAAGATCCAATATAAGAAATATAGTTAGAAAGCTTCACCATGGTCCTTGCATGGAATAAGTTGCCAAGCTATATCAATATAATTAAGGTACAGTTGAGTGCTCTAGTGGGAGATGGTACGTTAAGCATGTAAATAATATTCTCAAAAACAGATAACAAAACAGGGTTAAAAAGACAACAAAAAGATCTGAGGCAAAAAGGTTTGATGGTAAAAGTGTGGATTAAGTGTAAGATTGTATTCATCTAGGAACAACGAAAACTATTTTATCCTCAGGCTCCAACAGCTCAACAGGCTAGGAAAACATCTTTGCTCTTTTGAAGATTTAGAAGTAAAGCTCTCTCGACGAACAAAAGTAACGCTTCATAAGTGCATACTAACTTTCGGTGTGGAAATGAAGACAACGCAACTGATGCCGTGACGCTTGGAGAGTCCGAAAGGAACATTTACGTATGGAGAAAGATAAGCTTAGACAGCATCAAAAAAGTAGATAAAAACTATCGCCTGGAGTTTTTAGGACATATCGTCCAAACTCTAGAAACTTTTAATAGCGTGCTATACGTGATAGTAGAAGTAGAAATTATCGACGATGAAATTACTACCAGTGGGTATTTCCTGGTAACTCAAGCTCAAGACCATCAAAAATCGTTAAGAATCGTTTTATTCACTGTTCATACGCTTGGGCTCTAAATCGAAGCAAATCAAAACTTTTGCTACCACGAAACCGAACACAAATACAAATGTGCGAATGGCGACGACAAAACGGAATTTAAAATTAAACAGGCATCGCGCTATTAATTAGGAAGAACAGTAGCTGACAGATTCCGAATGTTGGCTAATTTGGCGTTGTCGTTTGTTTTTTTAATTTTTGACTTGATATATTTTTTCGTTTTCGCTTGCTCGCATGTATCCACAAACCGTCGCAGTTATATTTTTGCCCCACCAGTTGCCTGTTCGTATGTATAATATGTATGCTAACTCACTTGTGTACATACATACAAATATATTTGTTTGGTTATGCTTTATTGTACTGTTTTTAATTTTTTTCTCGTGAATTTCAATTATCGACGATAAGCGACCGACCGATCACTCGTCATTTATAATTTGCCTTTTTCTGTTTTCACGGCATTTTTTCCCCGCCAAGTGCCTTTGTCGTCGACGTTTTTTTACTGGTTGGTACTCTTTTGTTGTTGTTGTACGTTTTGTGATTTTTTCGGCTACTGTTTACTGTTTTTTTGATCATTTCGATTTTTTGTGATCATTATTTTTTCGAAAGAGTTCCAACATTGCATGTCCAGGCGCATATGACTCTGTATCTTGATCTGTAAACACGTATGTACCTATGTAAGTATGTGTATATAGGTGCTTACGAGCGTGTGTTTTGATTTCCATGCGTCCAAGTTGGCGTGTCGTTCCACTGATTTTTCAATGAATTATTGGTGCAATTAAAAATACGCGCACAAATTGAAATTTGAACTTGATTGCGTGGCTCCTTATTTAAGCGTGTGTGTGTGCGTTAATGTCTGTCTGTCTGTCTTTCAATATTTCCGTGCGTGCCACAGTAGCTCTTGACGGCGATTTTTAGTATGTCACCCATAGATAATCTACATTTGTACCGTCAAGATCCGTCAGATTTACATTTAGGTTTTTATTAATTAACCTTTTTTAGGCAAAATATTTTTCTTATAAGATAGCACCCGTAGATTTGGTTCCAATTAATTAAGATAATTACCATCCGTCTCTATTAATATGTACGATGGTACGTCTGGAATAAATAACAAATTCTAACATTCGTGTGAAAGTACACTCTCGGCCTCCATCAGAGTTGAGAGAGAATATTTATTTATAAAAGAAATAGTCAACTCTTGATTGTCGAAAAACTGCAAAATCTCATTTTTTTCTGATTCCATATCCTTATCATTTCTTATTAAGCTGTATAAAAACAGGAAAAAGCTTCGACTGCACAGTCCCTCCACAGGTGCACTGCCACTATAGGAGGGTACGAACTGAAGAATATGTTCGAAGATTGGAGCGTAAAAAAAGTTCAGTGTAATCTACTTGATATTTATTGATCCCAGCTTATCGGGATTGAATTCTGTTTACATTCTACAGGTTTTTAAAAACTGTCATAATATTGCTAAAACGTTTATATATTTCGGGCTTTAAGGGAAGATTGGATTTGGTGATTATTTAGGGTCAAATTTTGCAAATTTTGACCTGATGAAAATGCCAATCCCCAGTATCCAACGCAACATACGACCCATTTTTCATACTCGAGATCTTAAGAAAGATTTTTTTTATTTGATTCAGCCTAGCTCGCAGCTCTATAGAAAAATGGAGGATTCTTGAGGAAATTTAGAGCTACTCAAGACAGTTGGGTTAAGTCTTTAAACTAACTAATTAGATTAAGAAATTATTTCGAATTATGAATTATAAAAAAAAAAAACAAGACAAAACGTTTACTTCGTTTGTACCAAAGCTATAACACCCTTCACAAATACACTAGTTACTTTCAAGAACATGATTCCGATTGTTCAGTTTGTATGGCAGCTATATGCTATAGTAATTTGATCCGAACAATTTCCTTGGAGATTACATTGGTGCCTTAGTAAATAATGCCAAATTTCGTGAAGATACGTCGTCAAATGAAAAAGTTTTGAATGCAAGCACTTTACCCATCCTTCAGTTAATATAGCAGCTATGTGATATCGTAATCGGATCTGAATAATTTCTTCGAAGATTGCATTATTGCCTTAGAAAATAACTCATGAAAGAGTTTTTCATACGTCAAATAAAAACGATTTAGTGAGAGAAAGAGTTCTTTGTGAGGAAAGGACAGGTGCAAAATGTCAGATCGTTAGCTTAAAAACTGAGGGACTAGTTTGTATATTGTATATACAAACAGACAAACGGGCATATATTTTATACGGTCTCCGACGTTTCTTTCTGGGTATTACAAACCTCGTGGCAATCTAAATGTACCCTGTTCACGGTATAAAAACGATTTTTTGTTTTACATATGTATGGTATATACCGAATGTACATATATTTTGGAATGTTTTGAAGTTGATCCGGCAAATAGTTTCGGAGATATGAGCGAATTTTTAACTTAGTGCAATCGGCCCCCAAAACTTTAAACGCGTTTTTCTGGAAACGCCCTTCTCAAAGTCGTAACAAACTTTTGAGATATATTTGTCAGGTGATGATCGAAGGAATAAGATGATATTAATTTCGATTTTTTAAGCCAGTTTTTTTTTTTTTTTTTTTTTTTTTGGAAAACCGCCATTTTGTCAAAAATAGAAATTTTAACTTCTTTTGATCATTACCTGTATTAATTTATAATAACAACAATAGTTTCGGTGTTTGCATTTGAGATAGTTGGAGATCGGCTACGGGATCAAGGGAATCCAAAATTTTCCCAATTAAACGGCCGATTAATGAAGTACATAAAATTCTGTAAATACATATTTTTTTATTTATTTATTAAGTACAATGCATCTTCAAAAAAAAATTCAAAGTCCGCCACCCCTTTCCCTAAACCTGTGTGTGCTGTCACCATACTAATGCTATCTCAATATGAAGTTTCAAATAGCTGGTATCATTTAAATTTTCATAAGCAGAAAACAAGATTTTTTTTCGCAGAGGTCGATCTTTCTTATTCGTTTTGAATGTCGAAATATGCCAGCTTATCTCAAATCGATATTTAGGTTGCTAAACCTGACCACACATAAGTACTCTTACACTTTATATAAAACGTTTAGCAGGAAAACACAAAGATCATGAAATTATCTTTCACATGAGACTCCAGCCGTGCGCAAAGAGAGAACTAATAAATTTTCCCGAAGCAGAACCCAAGTTATTATATTAATGGGTCTACAAATATTCGAGCGGTTTGCTAAGATGTGGCGTAAGAGTAGCTCGCAAACATTCGAAAGCAAGAAAATTGGGTGTCATATGAAGTGAAGCTAAAAGACGTTGAAAAACGATTTTGCATGTCAGAAGTACTGCTTGAACGCTTAAAAAAGATGTCGTTTTTGCATCGGATTGTGACTGTTGAAGAAAAATGGATCCATTACGACAACCCTAAGTACAAACTAGTAAGGAAGGGCAACCGATCATTTTATATATATATTTATATATATTTTAATTAAAAGCAGAAAGTATTGTATCCATTGTTCACAATCACAGGCGAGCGGATACACTGTCATTAGAAAGAGATTATTTCTGAATTTTATTAAGATACCTTACACATTGAAAGATATAGCGGTACGAAGTCGACCAGAAGTTCGAAAATATTTATAGCAGGTATATGGGGGCTAAGCGAAGTATGAACCCAATTTTACGCATTTTTGCCACAAGCGCGTGCTTTCATCACAGAAAATTTCCCCCGAAATTCAATACTAGACCTCATGGTTTGACCGATATGTTCGGCATATGTATAAGATGAATTAGCGTGAGTGCAAAATTTTATTCTGGTTACTTCAATAATGTTTGATTTCTATACTGCAGAAAGTAGTGAAAGAACCAGATGGAATTCAAAACTTTGTTTTATGGGAAGTATTTACTGTATGTGATAGAAATATTCAAATAACTTCACATACCAAATTTGGATGAAATTGATTAA